TTTTTGAAACGTTCAGCTCCTTTCAGCGTCTATCTTCTGATTTACCTCCTTTTTGAAACGTTCAGCTCCTTTCAGCATCTATCTTCTGATTTACCTCCTTTTTGAAACTTTCAGCTCCTTTCAGCATCTATCTTCTGATTTACATCCTTTTTGAAACGTTCAGCTCCTTTCAGCATCTATCTTCTGATTTTCCTCCTTTTTGAAGTAATTTTTCTGCGAACTTCAGCTTTTTTCAGTTTCTTTCAGCTAAACTCAGTTTTTTCTGCCTTTTCAGGTACTTTTGAGATATTTTTCAGCCTATTCTAGCCTTTTTTTCTGCTTGTTGTTTGTAATTAATGCCTTTTGCTATTGTTTTGGATACTCTCAACATTTTGTGTTCCTTTCAACGTTTTTAAAAACTTTTTCAGCAAGTTTTAATTTTTTTTCTAATTTTACATTTTTCTTCAATCTTCTCAGTCTCTGCGTATTTCAGCTTATTCTGCTCATTTCTGAGCTAGTCGTGTTTTTCTGACATTTATGCTGTTTTGCTGCTGCTTTAATTTTCTTGTTTTCAACAAATGTCCGCTGTTCAAATTCATCTCACATTAACAGGTTCGAGATGAAACCTTCTTAGCCTGGTTTCAACTTCTTCAGCAAAAATCATCCAGCAGTAAGCATTTGCTTTAAGTGTGTGTTTATCAGTGGGGACTACTTTTCCCTTAAATGTAGTAAAAGTAAATCATGGAAATGAGTTTTACTTTAATGTGTGTTCAGCTCTTAGTTGTTACAACTCTCTCTGAAACGCGTGTCGAAGCCCCTGACCGCTGCGTGTCTGTCTGCATTCATTTCATTCAGAAGATCTTTTCTTGTTTTCATCTGTACTTTTTAATTGTAATGTTTGCAGCTGTCTGGATTTTCATTCAGGTGTTTTATAACCGTTTCAATGCCAGGTTAAAAAATGTATTAGTTTATTTTCCCATTAACAATGAGTCAAAACTGATTACATGAAATGCATTAGAAATTATTGAAATGTTTTAGATTTTTGGAACAGCCTAGTGAAGTCCATTCAGACTGGTAAAATATATAAAAAATAAGTCCGTGTTATATTTCTTTATGAGTTCAACATAAAAATTCTGAAACATGGTAAACGTATGTATTAAAAAATAAATAAAATCATCAGTCAACCTGATTAAAGTTGGCCCTCATTCAGGTTTTTATTCTTAACTCTTGGTTAAAATGAGTTTGAGCCCTTGGAGTTCAAAGGTCACACAGCTTTAACGAGACATTTAAAGGTCATTTCTAGTCGAACCCTAAGGTCAGCTGAGTTTGGGCCAAACGTTTTCAAAGTTCTGTTAAAATGCAAGCGAGGCATTGTTGTGGACGCAGGATCTGTCCTTGCGCTGCCTCGTGACTCGTGTCTTGTTCCAGCCCTGCATCATAGTGTGATGAGCTCCAGTGTTCCTCTACTCCTGATGATGTTGGCTCTGAGCTTCAGTGAGAAGAGCAGTCCTTACAAACCTGCTGCTGCCGCTCTGCGTCTGCGCTCCTCTTCATCTCTGTTTCAGAATAAACACACTGGCTTTATATATCAACCTGCAGCTGCCCTGGAGCGTCGTTTCACTGTCCAGTTTAAATTCTCATCGGCCCCTCTCGACACGACCGCCTGCCGCTTCATTAGTGGAGAAATAAACCACAGCAGCAGGACTCGACTGATCAAGGAGAATTATTTTAAAAGTTCAGAATCGATCACTGGAGCAGAACTCGCCTGCAGTGATACGAAGCACGGCACGTTATTTTTTCACGTCAGCCGTTTGATCGTGTTCCTCCTTCAGAGGTGATACCAGAGGTGGGCTGTCTCCAAACAAGGCCCCCGACCCCTGCTGCCTCGCTCCATTAGAGGTCCCTAGGCAGCCTGAAGGTATCTGAATCCTGACTGAACTGTCTTGTGAGAGCATTTTGAGAAGAGCTGGAGGTCCCTACCATCCCCTTCACCTGCTTACACACACCTGAACGACTCTGCAAGCCCACACTTGCACACCAGCAGTGGTGGAGGAAGTACTCAAACACTGTACTTAAGTAAAAGTACAAATAAACAGACAAAAATGTACTCTTGTAAAAGTATAAGTACCACATTAACATTTTTACTTAAGTAAAAGTAAATAAGTGCTTGCTTTTAAAATACTTTAATTATTATAAGTAAAAGTACTTGCTGAATGTATTACATAATGCAATGGTCTACATATCATTAAGTGTACCTACTGTATGTATATTTTCTGTAGTACATTAATAGTGTTGAGTCATTTTAATGAACGATGCTGCAGATAATACATGTTTTTATTCTGTTTACTCTGTGACACAGTTCAACCTGGACTTGTGATTCTGTGTCAGAATTTCAGGGATGACCTGCAGAGTTAACTGTCATTAATCAAAATAAGAAAGAGGAATGATTTTACTTTTAAAAGTTTTTATTTAACACAAAGTAAAACCATTGTGTCATTTTAACTGCAGTAAAACATTTAAGTAAAAGTTGTCTGCCTGAACAAAAGGAGCATTAGACACAACAAAGGAACAGGCTCTGATCATTTCAACTCTAGTTAAATTCTGTCTATTCAACCTTGTAATGGATCAATATTGAATAATATTTTAACTTCCTGACACATTTTTAAAACTTGGACCTGAGTGTCGAGTCATTTGGAGACATGTCTTGTCTCCTAACATCATGAACTGACACATTTTAATATTGCAGCAAGAATTTCTTGTTCAAGTTCAGAAGAAGTTGGTTTTCAAAGAGTTCTGAGTCCAGTCTGGATCTTTAGGGAGAGAGAATCTGTCCTGCTGTACTGAGTCTTTCAATAAGGACATGGGTGGAGTGTATCTCCTGACTGACTCTCTTGTGGTGGAATACATTTCAGTGTGTTAGTGGTGCTGCAGGTGCACCCAGCTCAGTGACAAATTTACTAGAATATATGTCACTGGTCCAGCTCTTCTTGAAGGCGGGTCTAACGTTACCTGCCCACTCTGCAGTGATTCACTGGACCAACTCCCTCTCACCATTGGTTACTTTCAAAGTAACAAATCAAAAAGCTGCAACATGAATGTAACTTGTAATGCAACGCGTCATAGAAATGTAGTGTAGTAGAAAGTACAGATACTTCATGTAAAATGTAGTGGAGTAAAAGTATAAAGTACCCACATTTAACTCTACTTAAGTAAAGTACAGATACATGAAAAATGTACTAAAGTACAGTAACGAAGTATTTGTACTTAGTTACATCCCACCACTGCCCACCAGTTACCCACAGAAAACAGTGGTAACTATAAAAGGAAAGACGTTTTACTTTCAGGAAGGAATGTTTTTGTTTAGTTCTCAGAGATGCTCATTTACCAACATTTTAGCAGATTGAAAACCTGTTTTTGCTTTTTGCTTTATTTTTCATGCCTAAATACAAAGTTGTTCTTTGGTATAGACATCTGACAATGTCCTGCTTTGTTTCTGAGTGATGTCCTTGGCTGCTTAATTTTAATAAAGAGGAGGTTCAGACGTTGTAGCCTTCAGTTTTGTATCCTGCTGATCACAGATGCCCCTTTTCCATAGTACCTCTTAGTACCAGTACAGCACGGTTCAACTCGATTATCACGATCATCTCTCAGCTGCAACAAGTTCTTGAACTGTGACTGGTGCCGTGAGCTGCTTCTCTTTTCTTCAACAACCGTGTCAAAGACTCATGGCGTGGTCCAGGACAAGATGTCCGTCTGTTTGAGAAGGGTCACATCA